CCAGAAATTTATTCCAGAGCAGTTGCATCCAGGGGTTGAGACACCCCCTGTGAGAGCCACAGAGAGTCCAGAATTACAGCACACATTGTTTCTGAGCAGGAATAATGTCCTGGTTACTCACCCACTCACAACTGCATTGCCCCAGGTCCTGCAGTGTAAAATCAGCCCATGCCATGCCTGGGCCGTGTCAGCCAGGAGTGTGTTTACAGTCGAACCACCAGGATGACTTGTGTGGGATGCATTCTCCATGAAACGTCCTAACTCCGCAGAGATAACTCTGCCTGTGGGTTGTCATCCTGCCTTGACATTTTGAAGTGTTTTAGCTCTGCAGTTTCACAGTGAATTCTTCTCTCTGCTGGTGCTGTTGACAAGCTGCCTTCTGCACAACTCTGCATCTCCATGAATCCTTTTAGGAGTCAGTTTTAGTGAGCAGTAACAGCTCCGAGCAGGATTGACCCCACCACTGGCTCCTTGCAGAGCCCACACTTACCTTGTGCTCTGGGGTTAGAGCTGCCCCAGCCCTGCAAGGCAGGGAGGGGCTCCCCAGAACCACAGACTTTAGTGTGACTTTGTGTAAGATCCTTGCCAGCCCTCCTTGTCAGCTGGAAAACAGAAATAATACCATCCTCCATCCCTACAGAGGGTTGCTGACAAATGTCTCTTCATTTCAGAAAGTATTTGAATTTCACTTAGTCTTATTAATACAATTAGCTAAAGTGAAGAGTCAGAAGCTGATGGGTATCCCTTGCTCTAATAGAGTTATGGGGTTTGGTGATGCTGAGCACTCTGCAGCTCACTCCAGTCACTTCAGAGAATAAAAAGAGCTGGTTTCAGCTGCCTACACCACTGCCAGAAAAACAGATACTGGGTATACTCAGAAAGTCTTTATTTAAAAAGTAAAAAACAACAAAAAACTTAGGGAAAGCTATAAATGCGAGAGAAGTATGTCTGTAGTTTCTGTTTAATTTAAACAGACCTTTGAATTCTTCCCATCACTGGTATTGGGATTTTTAATCGTGACACAGATCAGCACTGTGGTCACTGGGGATTTCCAACAGACCTGCCCCTGGGGATCTCAGTGTCCTCCCCATCTTCCTCACATGTGTGGTACATGGCTGGTGGGAGCTGCAGCAGGAGTGCCAGGATTGCTCTCCCAAGCAGGAGCTGAAGGTAAGCATGTAGTAAGTATGAATTTATTGTCCATTTGGAAGGCAGCAATACTCTTACTAGGGTGATAGGAAAAGCAAGGGGTTTCTGCATTGTGGTTTTTGGTTTTTTTAAAGGATGATAATTAGGAGGAGAGGAATGGATCCTTCTGTTTCACTGTGTGTTTCCTTATGGAAGGGGAAGTGCTGGCATCTAACAGAGGAGGCAGAATTTTATGCCAAAACCCAGTACTTTCTTTGGTTTATTTGCTCTAGACAATAGCTGCACATCAAAAAACCTTTTGGTAGAAGTGCGTCTTTGGATATCATCTCACAGGAGACAGAGGAGCCACAAATGAAAAATTCTCTTCCCAACTGTGTTCTACTTTTTAACTTCACAGGAGGCTGTGCTTTAGAGAGCTTTGACTATTACTAAAACAGTAAATTTTTTTTAATTAAAAACAACAGCAGCAATAAAAGGGAGAGTAGAAAAAATGCTTAGAAAATGCTTTCAAACTAAAAAATTACTTTCTTTGTGACTGTTTCTATGGGCCTCTTTCATGTCCATGTTCTCTGGATGTTTCAGCAGAGTGTGAGGCTGGCACAGAGGCTGGGAAGAGCAGTTTATGTCGTGTTCCACCTCACACAGAGCTGTGCTGGAAACCACGTGGGAGTGAGGCTGGGCAGGTTCATCTCTGGGCTAATCAGAAGAGAAAAATGCCACACAGATGAGATGAATAAGCATGGCAGAGTAAATTTTAACAGTTTTGCCAAAGTAATTTGAATTAGACAAACCTTTGATGTCTACAAAGCTGGACTTGATATCCCAGTGGGAGCAGGTTTTCCCATTATATGTTCATTTAATTATTATTAAAAAAAAAAGGCTTTTTGACAGACTCATATGCTTGATTTTGAACTCTCGGAGAATGCAGAGATCTAGCCAGACAAAAAAACTGAAGAACAAGTAACACCAAACTGTGGCTTTTATTCCTTGCTTACTTCTCTATTACTTAGGTGTGTGTTTGTGTGAAAAGGGGTAATTTTTGAAAAGTTTTTCCAACTCCTTACTCGAGTTGCAATCTATAATAAACACAACTTATAAAATGAGGGACAGATCTTCAAGTGACGCAAGGAATTTGTTGCGTTGAATGTGTGGGGGTTCTGCCTCAGATGTAAGTGCAGCCAATAATCTGTGAGCAAGGTCAACGCAGAGGAGGCAAAGTACATTTTTAATTTACACACCTACGTGCTTGTGGCAGGTGTTGAAAGTGGCATCACCAATGAAGGGAAAACACAAAAGATACAGGAAGATGTCTGGCATGATCAGTTTTTAAGCCATGCACTTGAAAATGATACGATCTGAAGTGCAAAGTTTTAATGTAGAGAATTTTATACTTCAGCAAGAATGCTCCTGCCCTGCTGATGAGCTGACATTTGCGGTCAGTTATTTCCCAGAGGTACTGGCAGTTTTATAATTATGCCCTCAGTTAGTGATGCTTTCCTGCTCCTGTCTCACCCCACACAGATTTGCAGTGGTGAGGGTTTCAGCTGTGGGTGTGATGCTTGACATGCACTGACCAGAAGTAACCAGAGTAAAGGAAGAGCTGGGATTAGTCCGAGTGTTTGTTTAGCACCGAGTCATGTTTCCACTTCAGTGAATTCTTCAGGGTCACGAAGTGTTCATTAGATGAATGGGAATATGTATATTTGCAAGAAGGCTTTTGCCACCCTTGGATAAAGCATGACCATGTTGCCTGGGGACACAACAGGAATGACCTCCCTGCCTCCCACTGTGCTGAGAGCACTCCCAGGGAGCAGAGAGAACTGCTGCCCGAGAAAGGCTTTTCTCATCATCTAACATTTTCCTAATTTCACATATTTTCCTGAAATCAAATTACTTGTATGGAGTGAAACCTTCCGTTCCAGTGCCACAAAACAGAACTGTGTCTTGAGCTCTTAAGTGCAGGTTTCTTGACATGGAGAGTCAGCAGTGGCCATGTAACATGGAATGGAAGTAACTTCATCAAGGTGACTTTTCCCTCTGGTCACCCTTACAAATGCTGTTACTTGCCAGAGTCCCATTCTCAGTATCTTCTTCAATGACAATGTGAATACCTTAGTGAAGTTCTCTCAAGGATATTTCTTATTCTGCCCTAATAAGACTTTCCCCCAGCTGGAGACCTGGGCTTTGCAATCTGCAGTTGCAGAGACTGGACTTTACTGGTCGCCATCAGAGATCAGGTTTAAATACAGGATCAAACTGTGCCACCTTGGTGAAGCTCATGATAAACAGAAATTTAAAAAAAAAAAGGGAAAAAGTTAATTATTTCAATTGTTTTCATAGCATAGTAGGTTTTCAGAAATAAACAAAATATGTGTTTTGTTGGGTTTTTTTTCCCTCGAATCGTTTGTCAAGTTGGCAAATTATGGGCATGCAGAGATAAATTATTGGAACATTTTCTCTGTATTTGCATGCATATATATATGCACAGATATATATAAACATTTGTATAAGTGTATTTGTGCACATGCAAGCAAATAAATGATGTATGTGCATGTGTTTGTTTGGAGATATATATACACAGAAGTATGTTCATGTACACACCCAGGAAAATAATTTTTCCATACCCTTTCTGTTGTTTAACAATACTGAAATATTGGCATTCAGCAATCTAGATCCTCAAATGTGTTGAAGAAACATAGATTTTAATGGTGTTAAATGAACCATTTAGCACAGAGGGCCTCTCACCTTCAGTGGCACACTCTCAAAATGAAATCCAGTGTTCAGATACAATAATAAAAAGAAGAAAAACAATATTACCTGTTTAAAGAGAATATAAAAATCCAATTAAGTTCCGAATTTTAATTTGCTTGCAAGCTTGGGTTTGTTGCTCTGTGAAAAGAATGAAAATGTAAATGACATTTCTGTGTGTTATCTACATAATCCAGAGGCTAAAATATCCTGTCATGCTTATTTTGTCTAGTGATGATAAAACTAAACAGTTCTAACTGAATTTCCTGTAAATGGGCAAACAATCAAAATTGAACATCTTTATATTCTGATCTTTCATTAATTTATGTGTAAATGCTGCTATAAAGAGATTAGCTCTTGAGAAAGAGAATGAATTTTGCCTGGCAGGTGACAGCAGTGATGGGCTGTGGCACATGAAGTGCTGTGTGTGGGAGAAAGCTGGAGAGATCACTCCCTTCTGAACTTTGAACTCAACAAAAGACAAGAGAGGCAGCTCTGCAGTCCTGAGCCCCACATGGCACCAGCCATCGATGCTCAGACTGTTGTGCCTGGGTGTCACCACCACCTCCTGACACTTCTTGTCCCTCAGTGCAGTGGATCAACCACAGCCATTTGCTGAGTTGTGTCTTACTTGAATTGGTAGCACATATTGGAGCGGGGCAGAGTGAAAAGGTGACCTGGGGGTGCAGGAGAGAGATAGTGTGGCAGGACATTGCCCAAGGGAATTCCCTTCTGTTCCAGCCATGGCTCAGGCAATAACCTCAGCACAGTAAATTCTGCTTCCCGTTGCCACTGACTATTCTTGCCTTTCCTTCTTTCCTTAGGTGGAAAAACACCTATACATCTCCAAATCAGCAATTAGCTGTTACCCACTAGCCTTGCTAGCAAAGAGAATGTCCTAGGGGTGAAGCAAGAACAAAATATACCTTAATCCTCCCATGCCTCTGCAGGCTGGAGCCATCCATGCCTGTATGCCTGTATCCATGCCATTTCCCTCCAAGGAGCATTTCCTCTTCCTAAATAAACCAGCACAACTTCAGATACTTAGAGCTCAGAGGAGCGAGACAGTTTTGGTGCTTTATTTGCATATTTAATGTATTGTTAGGGAAAGATATTTGACAAATTGGTAATTGAGTAGCACAGAATATGCCTGTGCAAGTGGTACCTGCAGAGGAATAGGTGCTACATGCAGACTGGTCTAAGTCAGGTTACTCTCAGAAAGTAACTCTAGTTATGATTTATTTAAGATAATTTAAAACAGGCAAAAGTTGGAATGTCATTTTATCAGACTTTTGTGCCTAATGATGGGATTAAGAATTCAAACAAAGGAGTCTGTGGGGTGTTGAGCAAGACTGAAAATTCTTGGTGTCTGATTTTTTAAATACCAGCGTCTGTAATGATGGGTGCCCAGTCTGAAGTGTATCCAGCCCTCCAGTGCTGGGAAATCTGCTCCTTTTGAAACAGTCAGAGAGGTTGTTTATATGATTTCCAGGTTTTGATATCAAATCCAGAAGAAATTATTAAGTTGTTCTTGTGAACTAAAACTGTACAGAAAATAGGGCTGTAAAACTACTACATCTGAGAGTTGATAGGAAGCAGCTTTGCCTGTTTTTCCTCTTTTTTACAAGTTATATGTACTGCTCCTGATTAATCACACTACAAATTTTGACACCTTTGAACTGTTCATTATGTGGCAGCACTACAGCAGGAATGGGAACAGCATCAGCTGAATCCAGATTCTTCTGTGCTTCACAAAGTTATGTGCCCATTCTGCATTTCTCCAGCTTCAGAAAGGTGGCAACTTTTAGAGCTCTTCTTGTCCTGTAAAGCAATTAAAGGACAGCCAGGTAAGTTTTAGACAGAAGTAAAAAGTAATCTTGTCTTTATTTTTCTGTATAAAGAATTGTTTTTGTAATGTATATTGTCTCTACTGTGGTCCTACAGCCTGCTTCTTGTTCAAGGTTATGCTGCCTGTGAAAATGAGAAGAATGGATTGTAAGGGTATGCCGAGATAGCATAAAAAACATGTCCAACATGACAAAGCTAACACTGCATGATTTTAACCCTTTTCCATTTAGAGCCTCAAAAACAATCTCAGGCCCTCGTCTCAGTTTCTTACAGGCAATTTGTTATGCAAGAAACATCACCTTCAGCATCTTATATGAAACAACCAGCTGTTGTGCAGCTCTTCCATATTAACCTCCTTCATGCCTCTTCAAAGGTGGCCCAGCACCTGTCTCAAGGCAGCATGTGAAAATTAGTCACAAGTGTTTATAAACATACTATAAACCTGTTATCATATTTATAAAAATGAACTTAGAAAAAGTCTGAAAAGCTGTGATGATGCAGCTACAATTTTATCCAGTACTTGGGTGGTTTTTTTTCCTGCATCACAGCAAACCCCAACCCATGCAGTCAGCAAAGCTGCTGCAAGCACTTCCCTGCTGTTTATGTTCCTGGAATTTAAGAACTTGAGCCTGCCCCCATTTTAAAAGCTAAACACTAAATTCAACCAGCAAAAGATTATGCAGTGCCAGTGCTTTCTGATACAGCTAAAAAAAAATTCATCTCGTATGATTTATTTGTGTTTGAATATTGAATCCCGAAGGGGTGGTAGCTATTTATTGTAATTCTGTGGAGATGGAGTACATGGCTCTGAACAGCACAGTGGTAGAACAGGGTTGATTACTCAGCTCCATTCCATTCAAACCAACTCACTTTGCCAAAAAGTCTTGCAGTGGGACTTTTCCATGTACTCTGTTACTTTTAAGCCCTAACTCAAGCACTGCACAGAAACCAGCAGGTCTGGAAAGATTTCAGAAGAGCTGTTCACTGTGTGCTTCCACACATGCTGTTTTTGCTACAGAGGCTGCAAGTCCCTCTGTGCTGTTTGTGACACAGTTTGTACAAGTGGCTCTGCAGTCTTAATGGTCCCTTCCAAGAAAGAGCTCTAATAGTTCCCTGGAATTGCATTCAGTCTGCGGGGCCCCTGGAGCTGGAGTGCAATTAGTGGCTGTGGATTGGGACAGGAACACGAAGAACTCCCAGGCTGTATTGACCCAATAAATCATAATGGCTCTGTCTGGGCCTGGACAGGCTGTTGCTCATCCAGGAGGTTTGGTGCATGCCACAGGGAAGCTTTTGGCGTGACTTGAGGTCCTGCAGGAAGGACAGACTTGCGATGTGTCTGCTGGAACTAAACCCAGGAGTTTGACCCCAGAGAACAGTTCTGGAAACTGGGACTCCATTTCCCCATAAGCTTTGAGGGCAGGTGATTTTAAAAGCCATATGGGAGCTCTGTGGGCAAAACCAGCTCATGACACCTTGCTGGGTCTGTTCATTTGCTGCTCCTGGCTGGACCATTCCTTGCTGGCTTCTGTATCCATGTCTCTGCACATGGACAGAGATTTCTGTTGCTTCAATATATGCTTTCAGATGCCACAAGACAAACACCTCGGGGTGAGACAGACCTACTGGCATCTCAGCCCTCCTGTTGGAACAGCCCTGAACTAGCTGTCCAAGATCTTTCTATAATAATTGGGACCTTCTGGAGTGCTTTATCTTGACCTGAGGCCCTTGACACCTGCAGCCAAAGTGTGCATTTCATTGCTGATGGAGGAGCCACTTCACTGTCATGCATTTTGATGTTGTGTTGGGCAGTAAGTGCAGTGAACTTCACAAAATGTGATTATTCTCTGCCAGCAAAACATGATTTCAATCAAGTATTTTCCTGATTTTACACAATGAACATTAAAGCAAAGAGATAAGAAAATCTGTTTTATCTTACAGAGCCTCTCAAGTGCCTGAGACAGTTTCAAGTCCAGTGGCTGAAGTGAAGATAAATTAAGCACTGTTGAAATGCAAGAGTAGGTAGGGAACAGCTTCCCTTCTGCAGTCCTGGCAGTGCAACTGTCTGTGCAAGGGGAAATCCTTTTAATGTTAGAGAAATCCCTGGCTTTGAAATCTCCATTGTCTGTGTTATCTGTTCTTTTAATCTAACCATCCATTCCTTCAGCACTGGAGTTTCACTGTCACAGTACATCCTCTCAGTCCAGTTCAGGTGTCAAATTTCCAATATCAGCTTCTGAGTTCTCCCTCTTTTTTTTTAGCTTCTTTTTTTTTTTTTTTAACGAAAGGGGTTGGATCCACGTACACTGCAGTACATTCATATATAGTACACAAATGACCTGTCTCTAATCACAATGCTGCTTTTGGTAACTGCAATATTGATACAGCTGAACTTCAGAACAGTCTGAGCTCTTTGATGCTCCTCAGATTTGCACCATTTCAGGACTATGTTCTACAAGTATCTGTTTACATGGAGATAGAGGATGATTACACAAGAAATCTTTTCCATGTAAGTATATACTTTTTATGCCACTTCAATGTACCTTCACTTTAATTATATCATTCTACTATGTAGGCAGAATTCTGGAACTTCTTTCAAGATTCATATAACTCCCTGATCCTAATACACTTAAAAATGTGTTTGTAACATTCAGCTTAACACTGTGCAACTTCAATCCTAGCCTTAAGCTCACCTGTTTCAGAGCTCAGCATATCCCTAGGTGAGTGCAAGCTGACACAGTTTTATCTTTTCTGAAGAACTCTAATTTTTCCTTACCAAATACAGACTGAGAGGCAGGCTGCCCACAGAAGTTGTGATCAGAAGTGGATGTGTCAGCTGTTATCACCAAGTTGCACGGTTGTAATCATAACTGCTTGTATGTGTCAGAAGAAATTGGAATATTTACAGCGTTTTGGTGCAGCCAGAAGGAAACAATTACAAGTGAAATACAAACATACAGTCACGTATATAAATATATGGAAAAAGCACAAATGCTTGCACAGACGTGTGTTCACACTCATAGATAAACAAAATGCCAGTGGGAACAAGCAGAAAACGTGTTTGTAGGTAGAAAACATTACCAAAGAGACAGAATATAAAACCTCATGGAAGCAGAGGACAAGGTGAGTGTCTCCAGAGCAGAAGTGATGGCAGCAGCTCTTCTGTTCAAGGACTGAGGACCAGTGTGTGAAGGTGAGTCCAGTGAGCAGTTCTGATTCTGAGCTGGGAGGAAGCTGCATGTACCATGTGTGCTTTGCACTCTTTTTCACTGAGACAGATAAAGGCAAGAGGAAGGGTTTGTGTTGGAGAAACACTCCACAGTATTTTCAAAGTCTAATAGGAACAAGATACTCAGAGACACTACAATGTTCAATGACATTGATGCTGCAAGCAGGATGAGTGGGTCTAAACGGAGGCAGAAACTTTCTAAGGGCATGATACCAGGTGTGGGGGTGACCTCTAGGGTTTGGGTCTCCCTGCTACTATCCTTTCTGCAAGTTCACTTATCCCCTTCTCTCTTCTTATTCCTGAAATTGTGATACTGAGTGCATCCTCACATGGTCTGACCAAGTCATGTTCCTTCATGTGCACAGTAAATTCTGGCATTTCTTCTGACAATGCAGATAGGCTGAATTGTTTCATTTTATTCCTGCTAGGTTTTTTTTTTGTCTATATGCTTCTTGGGAAATCAATGCTCAAAGGAGCAACCTGTCTATCTCTGGCTTACACGCAGTTCCAGCTGAACAGCACCAGGCTTCCAGCAGAAGGATTGAAAGAACAAAGAAAAAGGTTCATTTAATTTACCTTGAGGGATAGTTCATTTTTCAAATAGAGACAATTTGAAAAACACAAAGCCCTATGCCAATATCTTGGTCACTTTCAAAAACAAAATTAAGTCTTTCTCGGTAGGAAAATAAATGGCAATGCTATGTCCATTTGCATCCAGCAGCAATTCTGCAGCTAATTTCCCAGTAATTGATATGCTGCTGTATTGCTTTATTATGAGTGTTGAAGCTTTAAACATTCAGGTCCAGGCCAGACTTGGCCTAGCACCAAAGTGGGCATTTGCCACGTACCCAGCAGGCTGTACCCAGCAGGCTGACCAGTACACAACAGCCATCAGAGCTGGCACAGAGCTTAAACACTGATGTCCACTGGTGGTCTGAATACAGCTTAGAATATTATGGGCCAAAAATCCTAACTTACACAGGGCTACTTAATGAAACCAAGAACTGACCTAGACAATATGAAACCAAACATCACATTAGAAAAGAAGCTGCCATTAAGTAGCTGATAAATGGATGTTTCTATGAGTAGGATTTCAGGATGCTAAATTTAAACCAATGTCTTTTTTCTGAGCGATGCTGATAAGTATCTTTATTATGTATGAAAGGGACTGAGAGAGTGGCTTTCTGAGAGGTGCATAATGGTTACCTACTTATTAGAAGGATGTGTCTGGGTAGGCTTCATTCAGGCACATGTGATAACTTATTTTTAGATGCAGAACCCCCCATCAGCTGGGGTGTAGTGGATTATTTTCGTTGTCTGTTCTCCCAATACACATCCACTGAGCACTGCTGTTGTTGTGCTGTGGAGATGTACAGCAGGCTGTGTGTGCTCTGTACCTGTTACCTGGTTGTGCAGTGCAATCTGTGACTGTGGTATTGCTCTACCCACTTATGGCTCCTGCAAGGCAATTCCCTTGTTTATTCCTGCTCCTACCGCTGGGAATGAGGACTAATTTCTGTCATAGGCTCTCGTTACTCTTTCTATAGCACATCAGCTGGGCATCCCAGACTCCATTACCAGTGATACCACCTGCTGATGAGCTAATCCTCCTATGTTAACAAAGTGGCTTCAGAGTGAAAATCCTACTGCAATTACAGGGACAGCCTCGCCACACTTAGTGTTGGGATCCAAACAGCACTGGGCCGCTTGCTGCAGTCTTTGCTCAAGCAAGGACTAAGTGGAG